ATTTATAATGATGACCAATGACGTGTTCGAACGTGGTCTCTTCACAAGGGTACTTTTGATATCCTTTAGTCGAGATTAGTGAGGGCAAACGATCTCTGAACACAGAGGTGGTTAATTTGCATAGTTCATCGGTGTTGTCATACGAGTGTGTTGGAATAGTTGAAGAGAGGCGGATGATCACGCAAACGTTGCGATGGAGTACATTATGCAGTATTGTTACTCGATATCTGATGAATTCTAGCGCATTTGATGCCATTTTATACGATCATTTTGCCAGGATAACGTCGCTTTGCATAATCCAGCATCCACACATATTCACTTTCAGATTCACGCATTTGTCCGCATGTGTAGTTACTCTTGGTATCGATGTAGGGTATAACGATATGCTATAGCGATAATTTGATATGACTTTCATTATTTTACTTTCCGCTGCCTGTTGGATTTGAGTTTGTCGTTTTTGTCCACTAGGCGGCTGTTGTTTGAGTTTGAGCGCACTCACTTGGGTCAATCGAATAATTATTTGGTTGGCAAGGGTAGTGGAAGGGATTTAGTTTAGGTTTGTGGGATTTGGACGACTTTAATGTTAGTCGATCCTGTTTGTTGAATTGTTGTATTTTAATACAACGAGATTGTTTGACTAATCAATAACAGTCTTTATTCTTTGGTTATCGGCTCCAATAATGGTTTGGTGCCAGCAAATTGTGGTGAGAATAACTCCCAATTATTCCGATTATTTTACTGACATAATTACCAGTAAGAGATCGGCTACTTGGNTTTTGATTGGTTCGCTACCAAGAATCTTCAGTGTCTTTGAACTTTGCCTTGATCTCAAACTTGGGTAATTAAACCATTGTTATTACATAACAAATTAACGCGATTCGCGAGACATGTCATATAACGTAGATGGAGTACAATTATGATCAAACGACTACTCTAATAAATTGAGTAAGAGTTCAAGGCTTAAGGCTATGAGATTCAAGACTTAATAACAAATGAAAATAGAGTGAGAGGCATGGAAGTTGTTGCTCCGTGCAAGTGAAGCGAGTGGCCTGTAGCTTGTGTGAATGAAGTAAAATATATTTTTATTGCTTTGGCCCTATTTATATGATAAAAGTTGGAGTTTGTTGTTGTTGCTTAAGGAAAGTTGTGGGATATCTGCTGGGCAGATTGTGACGTAATATGCTCTTTGTTGTAGCTTCGTCACGGCTTCAATAAAGGCTATTTGAATTTAACTTTAAATATAAAGTTTCGTGTACCGTCTGCATCGCAGATTGTGGCGCAATTTAGCTTACCATGCCCTTTGATGTAGTTTCATTATGGCTACACCAAAGGCTGTTCTTTATTGTTGTTTATGATTGAAGGATTATAATGATATGTGCGGGCAATAAGGTAGGGTCATGTTGCAGTAATACTTTGTTTACATATCTATCGCGATGAATATTTTATTGCATTAATTGTTTAATATGTCTCTTCTTCGCGATTATCTGGTAACCGCGACAGTGGGGGCCGGCGTTGGTCTCCCAGGTGACTGGCACAAACTGTTTCGGTGTTTGTGAGGCTTTTGTGCCTGCAGGTACCACAGAGTTACCACAAGATTAATCTCTTTGCTCACGGGTACTATAGAGTCCATTTCAAGCTGGATCTCTTTGTTTTGGTTCTCCTTGTTATGTCCATTTTTTGGACCTCTTTTGTTTGAAAAGTGGGAGCATAATTTGATATACCCCTTTAGCTGAGCGATTATTACTGCCAAAATGATGCTTATTAAGGTAAATATAATCAGTGAGTTGATGAGCCGCCAGTGTTCCATTATCTCATTTATTTCGTTTTCGATGACATCCGTTGTTTTGTCTATCACCGTTTCCGTGTCTTTTATTACGATTTCTACTTAGTTTGTTATGTGGTTCATCTTTAGCTTCCTTTCTTGACGATTCCATTGAAAATGTTTGTTCCTCATTTGTAAATTTTTTAGTGTTTCTTCTTCATTTATATCTATTATTGTAGGCGCGTCGAATATGATGTTATGTGCCGGGTGTATCTCCGTAATTTGATTGTAGGCGTCCACGATTGTTCAGTTAGAGGTTAACTTTAACTTTAAACAGGAATATATTTTTAAATTTTCGCTGATTAATTCAGCCTTGACATCATCTCTTTTTAAAATCATTCTGGCTGCTGCTGTCGGATCTTGTTGGCCGATCCATTTTATTATCCGTGATATGTGATTGTGATTTTCACATAATTTGCGATCTATTTCGTTTTGGTCTTCCGAGTTGAATTGCTCCACAGCAGATAGTAGAAATTGTAACTTGGCGTTCATCTCGTCGTTTCCCTTTCGTCGTGCTTCCTCTCGGGCATTTTCCACGAGTAAGGGGCATGCTTCCTGATTTTCGTGTGCAGCATTTGTTTTGATTGAGCCTTTTGGAGGGCCCAAGTCAATAAGCATACCGTTTTTAGTTCTTCACCTTGATGTATACCACATAACTTAAACGTTTCTGAGGTTCTGTTTGTTATTATTTGCCTAACAAATATTTCTTGTAGTTTTGAGACGGTTACAAATTTCTCGGATATTCTAGTGCCGAAAAGACCTAGTCGACGATATGGACATTGTTGAAAGATGTCTGACTAATCCCAAATGAGTGTCTCCGTTCGAGTGATACATTTACTTTTATCACAACCTTCCAGTCTGGTCACACATCGTAAAAATTGAGAATGCCTTTTTCTATACGATAATTTATTGTTTCTTGACATTTTGTTCCGAACCAACCGTATCTATATTTAGTTGATTGACGTGAGGACCATTTATTTGGTCCGTCCGGCTCCAATTGAATGCCTTCAAACTGCTTTGTTTGTTGCATCATGAAGCATGCGTGTGTACTTGTATTTGTTATTAATGTTTGATCGCGCACGACTGCCATGGAAGGAATTTGTACAAACCATTCTCATTAATTTTGAGCAGCTTTTTCCATTCGTTGTGAGGTGCTGTCTCGTATAAATGCTGACGGTTTGTGAAGCGACGTATGGAGCGTTTAAGAGTTCGTTGCATTGGAGCAAGGTTGGCATTTTCATGATGACCCCGTGTGGTTGTCGTACGCAAGTGTTGACGATAAGGTGATCCGCGTTGATACCAAGAGTGAGCACTGCTAATAAGCAGAGTGTCAAGAAGGCTGCATGTGCATGCTGTCATTTTTTATTTGTAGCAATAGTGTTTGGAAGCTTTTCAATCGGATTTTGGTTTTATCTTCATTGTCTTTCACATTGGTGATTTCAAGCAGCATGATTTTGTTGATCGATCTTTTTAATGTATGACCGTTCGGTATACGAATTTCCACTGAGTGAGCTTGACCGTTTTCGTTTCGATCTATCGCTTCAACTCTGCACAATTTCCATTCGCCTTGTGGTATTTCGTCTTATAGGAGTACAGCTGTCTCGTTTAACTGTGGTTCTCTACAAGTTAAATTAAGCGGCTGTTTGTGGTGAGCGTCTTTTTCGCGTAGGCTGAGAATGTATTGCTCGTACCACATTTTCCAGAATTTGTTCAAGTTATTGACTGTTTTGTACCAGTTGTCGAGTAGTTTGTCCCTGGAATTTGGGTTATACGTTTCGTCGTCACTTTGAGAAGTGAGGCTGGATGGAGTGATATCTGCTTGTGGGCGCATCAAATCGATAGGACGAATGATTTCCCATGATTGGTTATCAACATACGTTATTGGTCGTGCATTTACTATTGCTTCCGTTTCGGCAATGAGAGTTCGGAACTGTTGTTGGATGAGAAGTTGTCGCCCAACTGCTTTCTTCAAAGCGCTTTTTGTGATACCCACCAGCATTTCATATATTCCACCTTGCCATGGTGCAAACGGCGTTATAAATTTCCATTCGATACTTGAAGCGATGGCTTTGTCGCATGCCGTTTTCGCCAGTGTAAAATTTGTGGCGTTGTCTGAGTGAAGTTAACGGACTGTTTTGGTACGAAATTGGGCATTATTGTGTCAGTCTACCATGACATCGTGAGATATTGTTTTCATCTTTGAATATCTTCAAATTTGTCCGGTTGGTAGCTATATTATCACCGGCTGAGCCCTCACGTCGAAACTAAGCCCTTTTTGAATACCTCTTAAATCGAGATATTCTTGTGTTTATCTCTTTAGTGAGATCGAACTTTTTGTCAAAGATTCTGGACCGACGCGGAATCGAATTCACGCCTTCTGAACAGATCGGATCCTCAAAGCCCAGCGTTACACCAGTATATTATCGGCCCATTGCTCAATCATTTCTATCTGACTTAAGTACTATCCTTGAGTACTATTATCATTGTATGCTAGCTTTTCGCGCCAGTCGAAGGAAAACTAAAACGCAAAAAGGAAAACTAAAACGTTAACACATTACCAAACGTTTCAATTTTTCAACCGAACGCAATTCAACAATTGCACGCAAGTCGCAGTTGAGCCATGTAAAATCAGTGAGATTTCCTAATTCGCGGAATAATTTCTTCAAATTCCATTGCCTGAATGGGGCCTGAAACAGACAAGGTATTTGATGCGTCAATTGCCTGTACCA